TATATATATACTCGCGCACACACACACACACACACACACATAGATACACGCATGCACACACACATTCATATATGCACACACACATTCATATATGCACACACACAATGTACGAACTGCTTCAGTTGAAAGTCTTCTGTAGTCATTTCTCATGCATTCCATCGCGTTGTTGTCTGATACTGCTACGGACACACAGTCGGATGGGTGTCTTATTTGGCCACGTTGCCTCATTCCGTCACATTGTCGTATCATTATGTCGCGCACATAGCGGACAAACACTAGTTGCTGCGAGTTCTCTTTCGACGGCTACCTCTTATCCGGTCACATTTCCGGAGCGGGGTTCAGGTATAACATTGTGAACATCTAATTCTCTTGTTTTGTCATATTAATTCGTCACGTTGGTGTCTTCTTCCGTCACAGACGTCCAATGGCAGTGCACAGCCGATCTGCCAGATGACCTGAAGTTTGGCGCCATCACCGTCACGTGCGAAGGCTTTGACTTCCCAAACGATCCCTACATACTCAAGGGCAGTTGTGGTATGTTTTAATACATGGTGCAGATAAATAGAGTCATACACATGTTCATACACAATGTCTACCCAAACTATGTTTTCGTTTCACACGATGTGCGGAGATAGTGTGTTCATGGAGTGGGTGCTGATGTCTTGCCCCCCCCCCCCCGGTATACAACCAGTAGAACATGGAATCAAACCATGGCCAAGCCAAAATACTATCAAGTATATATCATATTCAATATTTCTAAAATACACTATCAAGTATATCATATTCAATATTTATAAATATACTACCAAGTATATCATATTCAATATTTTAAAATACACTATCAAGTTTATCTTATTCTATATTCATAAATATACTACCGAGTATATCGTACTCAATATTTTTAAAATACGCTATCAAGTCCAACTTAATCAATATTCACGAATATACTATCAAGTATATCATATTCATTATTTCTAAAATACACGTGCCACCTATGACAATGCGCTTAAGATTTGTGTCCGTTCGCCTGTCGCAGGTCTGGAGTACAAACTGGAGTATAAGCGCGGGGGAGGCAAGCGTAGAGAGAGGGGGCGAGGGCCATCGGTGTTCAACCAGTACAACAACGAGCCCAACTATAGCAGTAGCGGGGGTGGGGGTTCTATGCTGTGGTACGGCATGCTGGCTATGGGAGGTGAGTATGTGGATAGTAATAGTACATGTACGTTTCTGAGTGATTTTGTGTGTATGAGAATATCTCGTACGTGACCATTTAGTGTTTTCCGATGTAGCTTGGTGTTTGTAGATGACTTACCTTTTTAGTACCACTCTATTTCTCAGCCACCTTGCGTTCGGTCGCTTCATTAGAGCCTACCACCTGTATACAGCTTTCACAGTCAGAGACAACTGTCACTTTTATTATAGCCATTAATTTTGTATCATACTTTCTTTAATATCACAACTTATTTCACGCCCATTCCCCATTGTTATGCAGTAATTGTATGTATACGGCCCACTTTATAGTACCATTCTATTTCTCACGCACTTTGCTTTTGTCCTCTTCATTACAGCCTACTACTTGTATAAGGCTTTCACAGCCAGAGGTGGAGGCGCAGTACCGGCAGCGGCTGGGAACAACCGAGGGGGTAGCAATTACTGGGGCGGGGGCGGCAGTGGAGGGGGCGGTTATGGTATGTGCTTGTACTGAGTTCATGACTGTGTGGATATATGGTTATAGGAGGTTTATTTCGGAGATTTCTGGGTAGTTTCTGTGTGTATGTATCCAGTTTACACTAATGTATGTATATTTATACATATGCACACGTGTGTATATTGATAGTGGACTAGATACAGGAGCAGCTGGAAGCAATTTAGGTGGCAGCAACTATTGGGGCGACAATGGAGAAGGATATACGGTACTTGTACGTACACAGCGATACTTCACATATTCGTGGATTTATTACCTTTCATATCCATGTATATGTATATATGTATAGCTATATATATATATATATTTATATATATATATATATATATATATATATATATATATATATATATATATATATATATATATATATCTATCTATATATATACTATATAT